ATAAGTATGTTCTACAGATAATCTGGATCCCGCCTACATGCAACGAGATGAAGTCCTGCCGGGTGTACGTGGAAAACCTGACGCTGAAGTGATTCAAGACGTGACGTCAACGTTCTTCCTCCTGCTGGCTATCTATTTTCCAGCTGTCACTGGCATTATGACCGGTACCAATATGAGTGGTAAGTGATCAATAGGTTCTCTGCGTGGTAAATATAATTATCGATTGCTTAGTTGCCTATTCCAACCGTGTTTTTCGACCGCTGCTCTCAGAAACAGTATCTTTCTGTTTCCATGAACAATTATCATCCCGTTTCAATGATAATTTTCCACATCCTTAGCAATTGTGGGAACTCCAACTGAAAAAAAAACTCGGATTTTTTTGCTTACTTTAATCCGATTTCCGAGTTACAGGAACACGAAGGGCAAGAATGATGGCAAATCCTTTCTGAAGCAAAAAACAAACAAAGCAGAGCTAAGTTCATTTTCCAGGTGATCTACGAGATCCCCAGCGCTCAATTCCGAGCGGTACCATAGCGGCTACGGTCACCACGTCGATCATCTACTACGCCTTGGCTGTGCTTTTTGCTGCCAGTATCGATAGATCTGTGCTCAGAGACAAGTAAGGTTCCTATGTATAAGCCATCGCTCCAGCGTGATCCTTAAAAAGGGTAATCGCTGCACCATTTGCAGTGTAGGGCGTCTCCTTCCTTATAGAAAAGGATAGAAAGGCTATAGAGAGAAACAGAAGACGAGAGACGACTCACGACTCACGACGCTCGGAGTAGAAACAAAAGGTGTACGGTGACATGGCTAGAGGCGAAGAAAATCGGGCTCCGGGGAGGGGAGATTCACGCGCAGAATGGGGGGTAAAGCCTGAATATCCATTGAGGCCGATGTCAGACTTTGCGAATCGCGCGATTCGCTAGGCGTCTGCGGTCGCGTCGCGGCCAGTGAATCACTCAATTGGCTGGTACCGCAACGCGACCGCGGACGCTAGCGATCGCGCGAATTCGCAAAGTCTGACATCGCCTGAGGTGCAGCACCAGAGCGCAACCTCAATGGTGCGATCCAGGAGAGAACGGATCAAAGAAGCCAGCATGGTGTGAAAGTGTCAAGCGTTACTCTAGGAAATGACGGCACAGGAACGACGATGATTCGATTGAAGGTCACAACTGTGAAGATACGAAAGTGTTGCACCCTCCGGTTGCGCTTGGTATTCGCCCACCGCCTTCCTGTGGTGCAACCTATGGGGCGGGGCGGCGGCTATAGGTCGAGCTTACAGTTCATCGAAGTTATTACCGAATACAGGGGGGGGGGCAAAAAAAAGACATTTTGCCTCCACTTCCAGATGGATTTAAGCACATTTTACTCAACTCAGACCGAACGGTTCCAACTTATTATTAAAGAGTGCATTCCATTCTATAAGAAAATCTTCATAGTGGCCACGTACGTGGACGGCATCAGAAGAATTAGCCCTGGAAACATGGTGCACTGGTCGATCTCAATGGGGTCTTCGAAGGATCGTGTACCATAACGACCCTTACTGGAAAGCTAGTTCCGAGGGGATTTGCACAGTGGTAGCTAATGCCTCTAGAAAACTATCCAACATTAAATCGATTCACGAAATTGCGTAAGAGCTTCAGGCTGAAGCTCTTACGGTAGACCTCCTTGAGCCTGACGACGGTGACAGATGACGTCATATTCTGAAGACGGTGAGGGCAGTGAAGGAGAGCCTGCGTACACTAATAGAGGAACACTTAGGGAATACTCTGCTGAGGAACTCCCGTCAACGACAGCAATCTCTGCGAAGAAAAAAGAGCCGAAGTCCGACATAGGCAAAATGTCTTTTTTTTGGCCCCTGTAGGGTCAACTGTGCGCTCGCACTATTCGGAGGGGTCGCATTCGTGGTTGGTTGGAGAGAGGGGTCGCATTCAGGGGTTTGAGTGGGATTAATAATTTGTTGACTCTCCCCCCTCCCCCGCTCGACGACTGTTTTGGAGGAAAAGGAAGAAAAGTGGGCGGAGTTGGGCTGTGTCGACTGGTCTCAGAATCAAATACTATAGAAACAGCCATGATGGCGAGGGTGGTGGTCGGGGTAGGAGAAGGGTGGTCGTATTGGGGGAGCCTCCTGAGTCTCATGGTGGTGGTGGGGGTCGCATCGACCCCCTAAAGGAGGGGGGTCGCGAAATTTCTGAAAAAGTGCGAACGTCACGGTTGACCCTGATCCTAACTCCTTTCCTTTATCTTACTACCTTCACCTACGTTGCTCCCTTTCACACCATCCCTCTGACAGCGTCACTCACTTTTCTTTGTAGTCAGTTGTCGCTGGCTATCGCTCCCATTCCGTGTTATTCGCTGCTTAACCCCGTTTTAGCGCATTTTTGCCAATACGGCTAGGTAAGTTCCAGAAGGTAAACGTCTTCTTGTTAATTCCAACACCGCACTAAAGACCCAAATTGAGAATTCTTTGCTTTGAGATTCGGCCGATCAATCGATAATAACATGGTGGTCTCGACGCTGGCCTGGCCGTCGCCATGGGTGGTCACCGTCGGATCTTTCCTGAGTACTTTTGGTGCAGCTCTACAGTGCTTATGCAGTAAGCTCTAAACTTTACCTAGGACCACTAGTACAGTAATCCGGAGTGTCCCTGAATTTCAGGTGCACCTCGACTGTTGCAGTCGATAGCCAAAGACGATGTCATTCCTATATTGGCGCCGTTCGCCCGAGTTACGGCCAACAACGAACCTCTACTGGGGTAAGTTCGTTAGGATTTTGAGGCTGGAGTAATATAGTTGCTCTAACGGATACGCCATGCACTTTCCGACTACTCGCATACTTGGAAGCGGCTGGATTGCAGTGGCGTGGAAGAACTGAACATTCGCTATTTCAGATTACTTTTGACAACGTTCATCGCCGAATTGGCTATACTTCTCGGTGCTGTCGATAAAATCGCTGAGGTTCGTGGGTTCCGCCAATAATTGGCAGAGATCAATTTTAAGCCGTTCCAGGTCCTTGACTTCTTCTTCCTGATGTGTTACGCGTTCGTGAACCTGATCGCAGTTCTTCATTCTGTCCTGAAGGTGCCCAACTGGCGGCCGCGTTTCAAATATTTCCATTGGTAAATATTACATGTCTCTGTACATTTCATCCTTTCTACTCTCACCGTTGGCCAGGTGAGCATTACTTTGAAACTGAGTAGCTGCCTTCGAAATACAATGCGTTAGAGTGGAGTGGGCTCGAACTCTCATCTTGGTTTCCCGGTCATTGAGCTTATCCCGTGCGCTACCAAAACCCCTATGTAGTGCATCCCTTTTGCTTCTAGTTATTGCTCTCACAAGGTTTGGAGAATAAGAAGTAGGACAACATTTGTCTACGTGATCTGGTCATACGATGAAACACTCCAAAAAAAGAGAATGTTGGAACCGGCCGAGAGCTCCAAAGTTTCGTGACAGTAGTGGGTGTTATGTAACAGCTGTGACGATTGACCGTACCCAATTACAAAACACAACACACTTTTCGTAATTAACCATTTATTTGCATCTATATGTACAAAATGATGATTGGCAATGAGCCAATCAATATACAAAAGGTGCTAGAATGGATCTACTACTGTAGATTCTACGGCCCACCACGCTCAGGGAAAAAGGGGACTGTTCCGCAAAATTCACCACCTGCCATCTTGTACCTATTGAAACATCTTCTCGCCGAGGATGTTCAAACGTACACTTCCTTCTGAACACAGAAGGGCGACCATCGCGTGAGCCACGCTTAGGCCAACGTGCATCTGTAGTCGTCTTGTACGAACTACTGCACAACTGCTTTCCACACGGGGAAAGATCCACTCTTCAACTGGTGTGAAGAGAACGAAGCTCGCATCGGGCGACGCTTCGGAGTCAGGGGGAGCCCTCTAGCACGTAGAGTTAATCACCTTAATCGTCTCGTTTTAATCACCGATCTGCTCACATCCCGTGAGCTCGGCAAAACTCCAGACTGACTGATCAGCTCGATCAGAAGACGGATCGACAGTAGATGGGGGCGTGGCTTAGGTTTACGACCATAAGAGAGAATCTCAAGTACCTAAGGTTACACCTAGGGATACTAGTCTGCACCTGCATGCACTTTTACAACCTGCACGCGGCCCCATCTCAATCCGAGATATTACTCACAAGTTATCTAAACTGGAAGATACAGTAATGATTGTCCATAATACTACATCTGTAGGACTCTCGTTTCAGGCTACTATCATTGATGGGAGCGTTTCTGTGCTTCTTCATAATGTTCGCGTCGGACTGGCATTTGGCTTTGGCCGCTTGTGGTATCACATTCACCATTTACAAATACGTGGAGTGGAAACGGGTAAATAAGAATCGCCACTGATTGAGTATTGCACTTAACTAATTCATTTATATTTACCATTAAGAAATTGGACCCCGGTTCTACAACCTGACAACAGACCTAAACTGTGAAGAGTCATCTCGACCTCTATCCTGTCTCATTTCGCTTTTTATAGCCGCAAACTACATGCTGTGAATACATTAATCATTTTTTTGATTACCTCCTCCGGTCCTCAAGCACCCCAAACTCTGTTATGCATCTGGGCTCTCTCGGTTGAGTTTACGGACACTGCTGAGCTGGTCTCTCGGAAGTCGCGATCAAAGCGGCTTGCCGTGTTTGGCCGGGGGCACTACCCTTCCTCTCCTTCGACCCTTGGCACCAACTCCCACAAATTTTTTTGTTCTTAATTGTGCCACTCAATCCGGACTATTTTAACTGTGAAGTATCTACCTTCTCTCTCCTCATATGAATATTACGGCAGCAGTAGTTAAATAAACAAAACATATCCAAAATACGTCGTTTTTAGAGCGAAAAAGGAGTGGGGAGATGGAATGCGTGGATTGGCGCATTGTCCACAGGCCTATTTCTATGAATGGTTTGGAGCAACAACACCTTGTATCCTTTTTTTTCTTATATATTACATTTCTATATTTTCTATCGTCTTCTTTTCATTTCATTGATTAAGTATATATTCTAATCTTTTTTCTTTTCTAAACTGAGCGCAGCTTCAAAAAAGCAGCAAGTTGGAGTAAGAAAAATGATGGCAAGCAGAACAACCTTCTGTAAAAATTTAGAATCCAACAAAAATATGCCAGTGGTATTGTTTGCATAGCGTGAAATTTTCCTGTGTTCAACCGTCTATGGCGCGTGCGTTCGCGTTGCGGTATGACTTTAAAAAATCGAATGTGAATACGGCTCAAAGAAGGACGTGCATTATTTGATTCCAATCGGAAACTATTCCGTACTGAAAGTCACAAAATACACTACAACTAAATATACATATCCTACTATATATAATTCGCTAAGTATGTGTGTGTGTTTGTCACGAAATTCGTAGCTCGGGTCACAGCAACGATAGCGCCATGGTTCTTACATATGTTATAGGGGGTGGGATGGGGACTCAAGTGGTACGTGATAGGAACTGATAACGACTGATAATAGCTGATAAGAGGGGCTAGAAAGCGAGCATCGCCAATTTCGTTTTGTCGTTCATATTGGTACTAGAGCGTCTATACTTACAAGTGTTATGTAGGGTGGTCCCGGGACATTGGTGGTACATGAATGGAAGCGATAGCAACTGATAAGGGCTGATAAGGGGCGTCAGAACGCAAAAGTCGTCGATTCCGTTACGCAGCTTGCGTTGACACTAGAGCGTCCATACTCGCAGGTGTCATGTGGGGTGGGACGGGGACATTGTTGGTAGGTGATGGAAAGTGGTTACAACTGATAAGGGCTGATAAGGGGCGTCAGAACGCAAAAGTCGTCGATTCCGTTACGTGGCTTGCGCTGACACTGGAGCGTCCCTACTTACAAATTGTATTTGTAGTGGTACGTGCACACTGTATCATTGTATGACCAGCCTACTTAATTGCAGTCTATTGCATGAATTCAATCAAGTCTTCAGCAAATGATAACTTTCGTTCCTATCAAGAAAGCCCAAACTCATTAAACCGCTAATCCTTTCGGGGTTCTAAATAATGGTGAATGTAAATAAATGATAAGCCTTAGCTCCTCACTTATGTAAACAGGCATATTTCATTTTTATTTTGAGACTGACAGCAATCCACCGCTAAATTATCTGAATTCAAGAAGAATGCTGGATGTTTACAGTTGTGAGATAATTATGCCAGTTCAGCTCCAGACGTTATCACGCGTATTTCTCGATGGACTTCAGCGAAACTGGGAAAGGTCTAACACATTCAATAGTGAGGTGGTTAATGGAGTACCCACTGCTGAT